CTCAACCTCAGGGGCACTCAACCTCAGCGGCACTCAACCTCAGGGGCACTCAATCTCAGAGGCACTCAACCTCAGGGGCACTCAACCTCAGGGGCATTCAACCTCAGCGGCACTCAACCTCAGGGGCACTCAACCTCAGGGGCACTCAACTTCAGGGGCACTCAACTTCAGGGGCACTCAACCTCAGGGGCACTCAACCTCAGTGGCACTCAACCTCAGGGGCACTCAACCTCAGGGACACTCAACCTCAGGGACACTCAACCTCAGGGGCACTCAACCTCAGCGGCACTCAACCTCAGGGGCACTCAATCTCAGAGGCACTCAACCTCAGGGGCACTCAACCTCAGGGGCACTCAATCTCAGAGGCACTCAACCTCAGGGGCACTCAACCTCAGGGGCACTCAACCTCAGGGGCATTCAACGTCAGGGGCACTCAACGTCAGGGGCACTCAACCTCAGGGCCACTCCACCTCAGGGGCACTCAACCTCAGGGGCACTCAACGTCAGGGGCACTCAACCTCAGGGGCACTCCACCTCAGGGGCACTCAACCTCAGGGGCATTCAACCTCAGGGGCACTCAACCTCAGCGGCACTCAACCTCAGGGGCACTCAATCTCAGAGGCACTCAACCTCAGGGGCACTCAACCTCAGGGGCACTCAACCTGAGGGGCACTCAACCTCAGGGGCACTCAACCTCAGGGGCACTCAACCTCAGGGGCACTCAACCTCAGGGGCACTCAACCTCAGGGGCACTCAACCTCAGGGGCACTCAACCTCAGGGGCACTCAACCTCAGGGACACTCAACCTCAGGGACACTCAACCTCAGGGGCACTCAACCTCAGGGGCACTCAACCTCAGGGGCACTCAACCTCAGGGGCACTCAACCTCAGGGTCACTCAACCTCAGGGGCAGTCAACCTCAGGGGCACTCAACGTCAGGGGCACTCAACCTCAGGGGCACTCAACCTCAGGGGCATTCAACCTCAGCGGCACTCAACCTCAGGGGCACTCAACCTCAGGGGCACTCAACTTCAGGGGCACTCAACCTCAGGGGCACTCAACCTCAGGGGCACTCAACCTCAGGGGCACTCAACCTCAGCGGCACTCAACCTCAGGGACACTCAACCTCAGGGGCACTCAACCTCAGCGGCACTCAACCGCAGGGGCACTCAATCTCAGAGGCACTCAACCTCAGGGGCACTCAACCTCAGGGGCACTCAATCTCAGAGGCACTCAACCTCAGGGGCACTCAACCTCAGGGGCACTCAACCTCAGGGGCAGTCAACCTCAGGGGCACTCAACCTCAGGGGCACTCAACCTCAGGGCCACTCCACCTCAGGGGCACTCAACCTCAGGGGCACTCAACGTCAGGGGCACTCAACCTCAGGGGCACTCCACCTCAGGGGCACTCAACCTCAGGGGCACTCAACCTCAGGGGCACTCAACCTCAGGGGCACTCAACCTCAGCGGCACTCAACCTCAGGGGCACTCAATCTCAGAGGCACTCAACCTCAGGGGCACTCAACCTCAGGGGCACTCAATCTCAGAGGCACTCAACCTCAGGGGCACTCAACCTGAGGGGCACTCAACCTGAGGGGCACTCAACCTCAGGGGCACTCAACCTCAGGGGCACTCAACCTCAGGGGCACTCAACCTCAGCGGCACTCAACCTCAGGGGCACTCAACCTCAGGGGCACTCAACCTCAGCGGCACTCAACCTCAGGGACACTCAACCTCAGTGGCACTCAACCTCAGGGGCACTCAACCTCAGGGACACTCAACCTCAGGGACACTCAACCTCAGGGGCACTCAACCTCAGCGGCACTCAACCTCAGGGGCACTCAATCTCAGAGGCACTCAACCTCAGGGGCACTCAACCTCAGGGGCACTCAATCTCAGAGGCACTCAACCTCAGGGGCACTCAACCTCAGGGGCACTCAACCTCAGGGGCATTCAACGTCAGGGGCACTCAACGTCAGGGGCACTCAACCTCAGGGCCACTCCACCTCAGGGGCACTCAACCTCAGGGGCACTCAACGTCAGGGGCACTCAACCTCAGGGGCACTCCACCTCAGGGGCACTCAACCTCAGGGGCATTCAACCTCAGGGGCACTCAACCTCAGCGGCACTCAACCTCAGGGGCACTCAATCTCAGAGGCACTCAACCTCAGGGGCACTCAACCTCAGGGGCACTCAACCTGAGGGGCACTCAACCTGAGGGGCACTCAACCTCAGGGGCACTCAACCTCAGGGGCACTCAACCTCAGGGGCACTCAACCTCAGGGGCACTCAACCTCAGGGGCACTCAACCTCAGGGGCACTCAACCTCAGGGGCACTCAACCTCAGGGACACTCAACCTCAGGGACACTCAACCTCAGGGGCACTCAACCTCAGGGGCACTCAACCTCAGGGGCACTCAACCTCAGGGGCACTCAACCTCAGGGTCACTCAACCTCAGGGGCATTCAACCTCAGGGGCACTCAACGTCAGGGGCACTCAACCTCAGGGGCACTCAACCTCAGGGGCAATCAACCTCAGCGGCACTCAACCTCAGGGGCACTCAACCTCAGGGGCACTCAACTTCAGGGGCACTCAACCTCAGGGGCACTCAGCCTCAGGGGCACTCAACCTCAGGGGCACTCAACCTCAGCGGCACTCAACCTCAGGGACACTCAACCTCAGGGGCACTCAACCTCAGCGGCACTCAACCTCAGGGGCACTCAATCTCAGAGGCACTCAACCTCAGGGGCACTCAACCTCAGGGGCACTCAATCTCAGAGGCACTCAACCTCAGGGGCACTCAACCTCAGGGGCACTCAACCTCAGGGGCATTCAACCTCAGGGGCACTCAACGTCAGGGGCACTCAACCTCAGGGCCACTCCACCTCAGGGGCACTCAACCTCAGGGGCACTCAACGTCAGGGGCACTCAACCTCAGGGGCACTCCACCTCAGGGGCACTCAACCTCAGGGGCATTCAACCTCAGGGGCACTCAACCTCAGGGGCACTCAACCTCAGCGGCACTCAACCTCAGGGGCACTCAATCTCAGAGGCACTCAACCTCAGGGGCACTCAACCTGAGGGGCACTCAATCTCAGAGGCACTCAACCTCAGGGGCACTCAACCTGAGGGGCACTCAACCTGAGGGGCACTCAACCTCAGGGGCACTCAACCTCAGGGGCACTCAACCTCAGGGGCACTCAACCTCAGCGGCACTCAACCTCAGGGGCACTCAACCTCAGGGGCACTCAACCTCAGCGGCACTCAACCTCAGGGACACTCAACCTCAGGGACACTCAACCTCAGGGGCACTCAACCTCAGGGACACTCAACCTCAGGGACACTCAACCTCAGGGGCACTCAACCTCAGGGACACTCAACCTCAGGGGCACTCAACCTCAGGGGCACTCAACCTCAGGAGCACTCAACCTCAGGGGCACTCAACCTCAGGGACACTCAACCTCAGGGACACTCAACCTCAGGGGCACTCAACCTCAGGGGCACTCAACCTCAGGAGCACTCAACCTCAGGGGCACTCAACCTCAGGAGCACTCAACCTCAGGGACACTCAACCTCAGGGGCACTCAACCTCAGGGGCACTCAACCTCAGGAGTAAACACAACGGGATACGCGGGTTCATCCCAGGGGACCCCAGTAGAAGGGGGGGGGGCACCAGTTCTACAATGCCCGCTCATTGTCCCCGTACATCTATGGTTCATCCAATAAAATCAGCAGACTTCTAGTTGTTACTACTGCTCGGCTTAGACTCAACCGGTTACAAGTATCTCTGGGAATTCTCATTATCTGCTGATGTAGACCTGACCAAATGTGTCAACAAAATTATTCGCACACCCTCCGTCACTATGTGATAGAGTGCAAAAGGATACGTGAATTTAGAGACAATTCTATAACAAATGTTCCAACGATGTGTAAATATTTCATTCAAAATGGTCTGTTACCAGAAATTTTACCCAAATATCCCCAGTTTGCTAACTGTAGGTAGTAACTGAGTGATTGTAACCTATCCACCGCTGCCCACTGGATGGGGGGCGGTGTGCAGGACAAACATATCAATTGTGACACTAGCTCTCCACATATGTCAGTTGCTTAATTTAGAAACTGTACTTGTGGTCGATCTCGAACCCATTGTTGATGAGTGATGAGACGACTTATACTGTATTTTGTAACTAGCTCATCAAGATTGTAACTTGCTTAGCTAAATGAATTGTGTTGTTCAGTCCCTGAGTCCATTATGTGCCTCTGTAACCCTTTCCACTACCGCCCACAAGATGGGTATGGGGTGCATAATAAATGAACTAAGCTAAACGTCCCAGTGGCTAACAAGGCCGGGGGCTAACCAGACGAGCCGATTGGTCAAGGTTGGGTCCGCTAAACCACCCGCTTAAACCTCCGTCTCCACCTCCCCTAATTTACGCGTTTTATGGGATTATGGTCTTAGTTTAAGTAGCAGATAATTTATGTTAATTTTGCTGAGATAATTAATAATGCAGCATTTTTTTCAATTTTGATAATTGTTTTTGTTATCGAATTATATTCGTCTGTATGCTGGCAGACAGCGCCAGAAATGGTCGTGGGGGTCTGAATGTGACCCTGGTGCGCCGTTCACTTTTGAATTCTGGCGACCCCAACCAGCCTATGTTCATCCCATACCCCAGACCATTGGCTCTGTTAATTCCGGCGAGGATGGACCAAAGCGTTTGGCTTCCAGCTTTGGACACACACACATTCTCTTACAGTTTGTGTATATCACATCGATTGTTGGTCTCTGATATGAAATATGCGAGAGATTAATATATTATCAGCAATTAAAGTATAATTACCAGATTAGGGCCAGAGAGAGAGAGACAGAGAGAGAGAGAGAGAGAGAGAGAGAGAGAGAGAGAGAGAGAGAGAGAGAGAGAGAGAGAGAGAGAGAGAGAGAGAGAGAGAGAGACAGAGAGAGCGAGAGACATAGAGAGAGAGCAAACAGATGACTCACAATATATCTGGAGACGCCAGTCGTCGACCATGGGGCCAGCCTCCAGCACGGGAGAGTCTGCCTGACAGGAGATCACCTTGCCAGCATCCTTCACACTGGGTGTCCATCTTAACTCGCTGTACGTCACGTTGCCTTCCTGGGAGACCTGAGACGAGACCTACAGTCAGTCCTAATCTTCAGGCAACCCACCCGTCCGCCCCCTAATCCTCCCAATCTTCCCCTTCAAGTCGCTAAGCTGTGTGCTCATTCAAGCTCTCGTCTAGTGAGCTTGTGCTGCTCTTGCAGCTGACAGTCCTTCGCTGTCATATGACTCGGTTTAGAAGGTGCTGTTAGTTATTACGTCTGTCAGTAGGCTGATGGCGTCGTGTTGTCAATAGATTTACAAAGTGTCGGGCAGCCAGGCTTTTATTGGTTCCCGTCACCTGCGATGCTCATGGTGACAGTTATCACCTAGCGACAGTCCTGTCAGCGGCTGACACTTGTGTTCAGACAGCTTTATATCCTGCTACTGGTCATACGAGCCTCGAACGAGCCACCATCTATCAGTTCAACATGTTATGACTTATCGACCACGTTAGTTCAAATTCTTCCGACAAACTCTCGCATATTACTGAAAATCTTTTATTTTTGAGTTAAAATAGTTACTACATTGTTCTCTATTCACCTCTGCTCGAGTGCGTTGCGGATAAGACTCCTCCTGGCTCGTGGTACAGGGAACTGGTTGTGCGACCTGCTAGGCCTATGAGGAAGGAACTTGATAAACTATTGAACACCATTTTCTGCTCTGTAATACAGCAGGCACAAGCCAGCTTGCAGATAAATGCCAAGATGCCAGCAAATTAAAAAAAACATTCAAGTAAATTAAATGGTTGTTATCAGATCTAACAGATACACACGACTAGTCCCTATATAAAGGGGAGAAAAAAGTATCAACCATGAGATTCAATCTTGGTTAAGCCTCTATAAACGAAGCTTAATTGACTAAGTCTACTCTCACCTTGGTGTTTATCAACAGTGTTGTCAATATTGGGGTTTTCACTGTCAACTCACCTGGTAACTGTCAAGTCTTAATCACATGAGTAAACCATTCATCAGACTCACTTTTTGCTTGACGTGCCTGATAATAGGCGTGATCTAATGATTACGTTGCGTCACGGTAAGCTTGCGTGACGCAAACCCCAAGTGAAGCTGACCTACCTCGTCTCTATGGCCGCCAAGTACGCTGTTTTGGAGGCGCCAGGTGACGGCAGCTGGAGGCTTGGCACCTACAATTTGGCACTGGAGGTCGTACGGGCGTCCGGCACTGAGGGGCGCTCTGTCCCCCAGGATTCTCACCCACAGGGGAGGAACTGCCGGCCCACACACCCGGGGGAGAGAGTTATTTTCAGTTAGAATAGTTTCTTGGTGGTTCGTGAAGCGGCGAATATTTCAGGGTTTTGTATGGCTAGCATTGTGAGGGGTCAAGGCGTTAAGTAACTTAGGCCAAGGAAGTGACCCAAGCCACTTATTGGGACGCGGCCCAAGCCAGGGACGCGGTTCTCTCCAGTGGCTCAAGGCAGGATAGTGGGCCAGACTGGGATGAAGGAATTTTAAGGTTTGCATCATTAAGAGAATAACCATAAGACATCAACTAGCCACTTTATCACTTGGTGAACTGTGTGCTACTCCAGCACATTCTAGAACTTTAAATTAAACATCAGCATCTTAAAAAGAAAATTATTATATCGGAAATTACAGAAAACGAAAAAAAAACCCACCTGCATCTTGTTAAATTTTCAAAAGCGATTTTGTCCCACTTAGAACAACTCAATATCTTATCTCCGCCGTCTGCTGAACCCTTGTGTCTTAGAAAAAATTTATCCCCCCCCCCTTCCCCACAAAAAAGAGTTCTTACGTCTTAGAATTGCGAAATAAGAGCCCGTCTTAAAGAGTTACTTACTTCTTGGACAATATTAAAAAAGGTAAAAATAATTTGTATCAGTCACTAAATAATAAGAGAGAAGTCGTCTGACAACAAGAATGATGTGTTGGGGAACTGTGAGGAGAGTGTGGACATTGACAAGCCACGAGAACAAACTTCCTGAAGGAAGCGAGAAGTACTTGAAGGAAAATGTCTATTCTGAATAGATAGGAAAAGTAAGGCAAGCGATCTATAAGAATCATACTCTCATAATATATCTCCATTAATAAACAAAGCTACGTAGATATTGATAGAAAGATATACGAAGAGAGAGAGAGAGAGAGAGAGAGAGAGAGAGAGAGAGAGAGAGAGAGAGAGAGAGAGAGAGAGAGGGAGAGGGAGAGGGAGAGGGAGAGGGAGAGGGAGAGGGAGAGAGAGAGAGGGGGGGGGGGGGGCAAATGGTTACGCAGGTTTTAATAAAATGATAAACTGATTAACATACAATATTACAAAATCTTAAGAAAACAAATGAATACAAAAAATGCTGAATTATCATCTTGACAATTATTCACCAATAATTCGTAATAGCTTCAGTGGTAAAGGTCTCGTTGAGGCTCTATTCTTCCTGGTTCAGTCAAATTATCCTCATGAATGGAGTATAATTGTTAAAGTCAATGACTCACCTTTTTATCACCGATTTAAGTCAATAAGTATTTTTCTGTTTTTGTAAATCCTTTTAGGAACTGAAAGTTGGAACTCCTGTTGTTTACCTATTTTTTTTTTAAGATAATGTTGAGTGGACACATCCGGCGCCTGAGAGAAACGTGTGTATCCTCGCTACAAATGCAAGACTGTAACTTGATTAGATCGTGTATCTGCTCGTCCGTCTGTCTGTTCTGTGACTGGTTAGAAAACTTTCGATAAAATTTGTCATGTGCCCTGCGGACCTCTAGTACCTTCAACATTGGGGGGTGGATAGACCTCTATTGCCTTCAACATTGGGCGATGGATAGACCTCTATTGCCTTCAACATTGGGCGATGGATAGACCTCTATTGCCTTCAACATTGGGCGATGGATAGACCTCTATTGCCTTCAACATTGGGGGATGGATAGACCTCTATTGCCTTCAACATTGGGGGATGGATAGACCTCTATTGCCTTCAACATTGGGGGGTGGATAGACCTCTATTGCCTTCTTAATGTCTTTAGGCAATTATTGAATTGCCCTGTACAAGGCGTCGTTCGTACCTTTCACTCCCCCATTCGTAATTCGTGCTCCTTCCCCCCCCCCTCCTGGGGCACTGTTCGTGACCCCCCCCCCCCCCCCGACCTCCCTCAATGCCCCACACTCTTCTTGGTAAAAAAAAAACGGTAATTCCTAACGGTAATAATTTCCAACGGTAACTCCGGTAATATAATGGAAGGTAATTCCAAAACTTCCCATAATCTGATCCATCCATATCCCCTTTCACCCCCCCCCCCATTGCTACTCTACCTGGAGTCAGAGAACATGTTTACATTCCGCATGTGTAGGGAACTGTAGGCATCCCTGCGGCAAGGCCCCTGTATGAGGGATTTGTGTCCTTTTAGGTAAGCCCAAGTACTGCCCAAGCGGCTCGACCGCTCAGAATATGTAAACACGGATGCTTGCGTCCCTCCAAATTGCTTCGGCTATTTATATATCATAAAAAACCCAATGACAGTGACTTATAACTTGGTAAGTCATATTCGTAACTTCCCAATCAAGTTACATTCAATCAAGCTTCAGGGCGAGTTGTTTGATCACGGATCTCTTCAAGGCCGATAATTAAAAAAAAGAATGACATTTTATAACACATGGATAGGGGGGTAGGGGGTAGAGGATAGGACAGAACCTGGGATAGGAGGAACGGAGTGACGGAATCATGTCTAATCGCTTGGACCATCGGGCATCGAACGCCGACCCAGCTGCATGAAGCATCGGTTAACGCTCTACCGACCGGTGCAAGTGGCCTCGACGACAAAGCTTCATTCCGTCCCTGAAATGAAGGTGAGAAGAGAGACCAGGTGACTCACAGCTCATGTTGATGGTGACGGTGGTCTGAAGCGGCCTGGTGAGGTTGGTGTTGCTGGCCTGACACGTCAGCGGCCGGTGGAGGTCACGTCTCGTTAGCGAGGTCACCACCAGGGTGTTGGTCACCTGCTCGGACGTCTCCTCCTCCGAGGTCATGTCCAGGAGCACGGCGCCCTCCCACCAGGTGACGCTCGGGGGCGGCGACCCGCCCTCCGCCCGACAGTTGAGGGTGACCGTCTCCCCCTCCAGGAAGGGCCCTACTACGCCGCGAACTTCAGTGTCCGGATCAATGTAGACCAACAGGCGCCGGGGAGGCACTAAGGAGGGAGATAATACACTCATGAGGCGAGAGGTAGTGAAGAACGCACACACGCACACACACACACACACACACACACACACACACACACACACACACACACACAGGGTTACTTGAATTCTACGACCAGGCAACAAAAATAAGGCAAGAAAGAGAAGGGTGGGCAGACTGCATATTTTTGGATTGTCAGAAAGCCTTTGATACAGTGTCACACAAGAGGCTAGTGAGAAAGCTGGAGATACAGGCTGGAGTGAAAGGGAAGGTACTCCATTGCAACAGGAGACAACGAGTCTGTGTGAGGGGTGAGGTCTCAGATTGGCGAGACGTTACAAGTGGAGTCCCGCAGGGGTCAGTCCTTGGACCTATACAGTTTCTGGTATATGTAAATGATCTCCCAGAGGGTATAGATTTGTTTCTCTCAATGTTTGCCGACGCTGCAAAAATTATGAGGAGGATTGAAACAGAGGATAATAGTAGGAGGCTACAAGATGACCTAGATAGACTGAGTGAATGGTCCAACAAATGGCTGTTGAAGTTCAACCCGAGTAAATGCAAAGTAATGAAACTAGGCAGTGGAAACAGGAGGCCAGACACAGGATACAGAATAGGAGATGAAGTACTTAATGAAACAGACAGAGAGAAAGATCTAGGAGTTGATATCACACCAAACCTGTCTCCTGAAGCCCACATAAAGAGAATAACGTCAGCGGCATATGCGAGGCTGGCTAACATCAGAACAGCGTTCCGGAACCTGTGTAAGGAATCATTCAGAATCTTGTACACCACATATGTAAGACCAATCCTGGAGTATGCGGCCCCAGCATGGAGCCCGTATCTTGTCAAGCACAAGACGAAGCTGGAAAAAGTCCAAAGGTATGCTATTAGACTAGTCCCAGAACTAAGAGGCATGAGTTATGAGGAAAGGCTGCGGGAAATGCACCTTACGACACTGGAAGACAGAAAAGTAAGGGGGGACATGATAACAACCTACAAAATCCTCAGGGGAATCGATCGGGTAAACAAGGATGAACTATTCAACACTGGAGGGACACGAACAAGGGGACACAGGTGAAAGCTGAGTACCCAAATGAGCCACGGAGACATTAGAAAGAACTTTTTCAGTGTCAGAGTAGTTAGTAAATGGAATACACTAGGAAGTGATGTAGTGGAGGCTGACTCCATACACAGTTTCAAATGTAGATATGACAGAGCCCAGTAGGCTCAGGAATCTGTACATCAGTTGATAGACGGTTGAGAGGCGGGACCAAAGAGCCAAAGCTCAACCCTCGCAAACACAACTAGGTGAGTACACACACACACACACACACACACCAGTTGATTGACAGTTGAGAGGTGGGACCAAAGAGCCAAAGCTCAACCCCTGCAAGCACAATTAGGTGAGTACACACACACATACACAGTAAATGTAATGCATTAGGCAGTGATGCGGTGGAGGCAGACTCCATACACAGTTTCAAGTGTAGTTATGATAGAGCCCAATAGGCTCAGGAACCTGTACACCATTGATTGACAGTTAAGAAGCGGGAGAAAAGAGCCGAATGTCAACCCTCGCAAGTACAACTAGGCGAGTACATATATAAAGGGCAAGTGTCACTGGGTTTGAAGAGATAAGTTTTGAGGAGAAAACCAATAACATGGACTATGTTGCAGGAATTATTTCGGTGGAAGGAAAACGTGGTTGCGGCTGTGATTTGCAACCCTCTCCCAGCCTCCTCCACCGAGAATCATCTGATCCCAGACAAGAACACAAAAATTCAAACAGAACTTGCATACATATCGTACTAATTGTAGTCCAATTTTCCGTCATATTCAGAGAAAAGCTCCTTGTAATGGAAGATTTCAACCATGAGCAAATAGACTTGGAATTATTGCGTCCGAAAGGAACTTGGGAGGGGGTAGGGGGCAGGAAGAAACATGAAAGGCAAAACTAGTAAAAGCTGCATTCACAACATGTCAGGGTGGAAGCATGGAGGAGAGGCGAACAACCACCAGCAAGATTGTATCTATAGTCTTCACACAAAGCCAGATAGACTTTTGGAGAACATTAAACACAAAATGCCAATGGGGGCCAAGCGGCCATTGGTATTTGATTATGGAGATATTATGAAGGCTGATGCAAAGAGGAAGAGAATAGGGGAATGGAAAACCTAGTTTTCCATGTTGGCGTCATCTCATCTCCCATGATATTCTCGAAGAGGATAAAGAGGAAGTATGATGGACTTCAATAACTACCCAATGGTCACACACCAACACCAGGGGCGTACCATCAGAATAATGAGAGCTGTGTGAGCCATACTAGCAAACGTCCTGTTATCCTTCAGGAACTTGGACAAAAACACCTGAATGCTGAAAATATCCTTAGCGAGACTGAGTATGCTGCACGGACGTGGAACCCTTTTCCTAAAGAAACAAAACTATGAAAGTTCAAAAAACATGCAAGAAGGCTCATTCCTGAGGTAAAGGGACTGAGCTGTGAAAAAAGGAACTGGACCTCACGACACTGGAGGAAAAAACAAATAGGGTAGACATGGTAACGACGTACAAGATACAAAGAGCGACTGATAAAGTAAACATCTAATCAAGGTTTTAATGAAGGATCAGTAGAGAAAAAGGACATAGAAGGGAACTGGATACTTGTCAGAATAAGAGTCAAAAGGAACGGATTCGATGAAATTGTCGAAGCCAGTTTGATACACACCTTTAGAATATAAGAAAAACCGAGTGGAGGAAAAAAGGGTCACTGCACTAAGCTAATGATGGTTGACCGGCAGGGCTTAGGATCTGACTCGACTCTGCAAAGCACAATCAGGCGAATACACACACCTCGGTGGGGGAGGGAAGGAGGGAGGGATGCACCCCCCACACAGAATGGATTTTATAGATGTAGGAGGTTGTGGGCTGTACCCCAACACACATATCAGCGCCCTCATGGGACCCATATCTGAATAGCTCAGCGCCACATTGTTCTGAGCCCGACATATTCCACTAACAAACAGCACAGGTCACACTAACAACAGCCTAAGTAAGAGCTCTTGTTTGGACAGTTATGGAATTAATCCTCACGAGGTTTATTCCCGGAGCCCCTGATACTGTCCCCCGCTGGAGTTCAACGATGAACATCAGTTCATTAGAGGCCAACGTGCTGTCCGCGCACGTTCACATGAACTGCTTGAAGGCAAATCTATAACTGGTGTAACGGGGTGTATATTACTTTAGGGGATGAAGTTGAACAATGTTGTTCATGCACTACTTGTTCATGCTTGAACAAGTCTTTATCTTTATCACCATTCATTTAATTTAATGATTAAAAAAAATCATCTATTTTGAATACTTGATTGTTTTATATTTTTCAGAGTAATTTATAGATATGAAAGAATAGGTATGTATCATCTTATTGCATAAATACTACCCTTATTTAACTATCAATAATCTTTTATATGTTTCGGATATTGTACACTATACATATAAATTACATATATAAGAAAGACCATATATAAAAGTGCCTTTTTTATGCCTTAAAAAGGCCTAAAAAGGCGTTCACAATTGTTTTCATATCTGTGGAAGCTTATGATGGAAAGATGGGGGACCCCCTTGAATAGAGCCCCTTGAGCTCCATTCAAGGGGCTCTATTATGAATTAAGATTTAGTGCTTTACCCATTAAAGCTCGGTAGAATTAAGCATCGTTATTCAACAAAGACTGATTTACGAAACGTGTACTACTTTCCTCAATCGTGACGGCTTGGTTTGCACTTATGGGAGAGCTTACGAACGGGCTACGAGGATGTCTTACAAAAGATAATACCCTTGAGCAGAGAGCGACCTCGCAGTTAAGATGTACAGGCTTCGTAAGTGATCTCGTTAACATTTGATGAATTCTGATCAAGGTTACTACTTGAATGCTTAAGAGTTATTGCTTGACACTGTTGAGTGGTGGTTCACTGTTGGAGGTGTGGTGCGCCCGCTAGTAGAAGCTCCGGCTGGCGGTATGGCGGTGGCTGGTAGCGGCAGTATAGTATCGCCGTGTGGATACTATACTGCTAGATTTTTCTGCTGCAGTGGATTGGCCCATTGTGGAGATTGCTCTCCTTGACGTGCTCCGTGTGGACGTCTCTAATCTCTTGGGACTGGAGAAGCTATCGCCTACCCATGTGGCGGTGTCGTTTGCCACGTCCCTTGTATACTGGGAGTTCGTGGTGCGCTGGGATGCACGGTCACTTACTCCTTCTGATTTGGCTGTGACTGTGGAGATCTCAGATCCCTGGGGTCCCTTGACTTTTATGAGTGTCCACGGTCTGCCGGTGACCTTCCCTGAGCCAGAGCTCGTGTCCTTGTTTACGAGGTTTGGTGCAGTGGTGAAGCACAGGTTTACCACTTTGAGTGCTGGCTGGCTGAAGGGGATCCGTCTGGGTGCTCGTACGCTTCTCATGAGGGTCATAGCTCTATTCCTTCTCGGGTTTCGTTTTGTGGGCTTTCTCTGCGGATGTTCAGTCAGGGTCAGATGCTCACTTGTTTCCGGTGTGGTGCGGAAAGCCTCGTCGCGGCCGGCTGCAATGCTCCTCGTGCTGAGGCCCCTGCTGTTTTTCTGGAGGATGATTTTCCTCGCTTGTCTGTGTGTGAGGATTCCCCGGTGGGTCCTCGCTCTATGGTAGTGCCTGGTGTGGTTCCGGCGGCGGTTGCAGCTGTCGCTCCATCTGGTTCTGATCCGTCTGCCTTACCGGAAGCCCCTGCAGACCTGGGGGCCTCTGCTTCGGCTATGGAGCCTCCTACTGAGCATGGCCTGGTACCCCATGTGGTTGAGGATGCTGCTGTTCTGCGGACAGCATCGGTTCACCCGGCTTGTGGTACCCCGTGTCTCCGGGTCGACATCCGGCTCTGATGATGTGTGGCCGGAACCCAAGCGTTCTCGGCGTCCTTCTTCTGCCTGGGCTAATGTGGGAAATTTCGACGAATGTGGATCTTCCGGCTACGGCGGGGTAACTCCGGTTGTGTCGTATTCTTCGG